CCAGAAAGAAATGCCGGGCAGTTTATGTTGTTTATAGGAAGGTTGGGCCAACTTTATAAGAAATAAAGAATGACTCCAGACTTTCCCACTGTACTTCATTAATATTTCATTGGACAGATTAATGCTCATAAATACACCAAAACATCCACTTTTGCATCTCCACCAGTGTCCACCGAACCACAACCGTGAAAGGCTTCCCCCTCAGCACTCTGCACAGACCAGCATCCTTAATGATTCATTTATACTTYCAGAACGGGGAGTTGAAGGTCTCGGCAACAAACAGGTTTGCCCCACGCCGCACATCGTTTGCAACAACAGCGAACGGCTCCGAGTCAAACCGCATGAATACGTGCTATGAGAATATCAACGGGAATCATAGGAGTGAAAACACCAGAGCAGCCAGGCAAACAGAGGGCAGCGTGTGCCAAAGTTGCTGTGGGAACATTTTGAAATAGTTTTTTTTTTCCTAATAAGACTAAGCAGAGACTTCATCCATAGACCGTTGGAAGAGCTGGAAGCCTGACTGAAATGCCAACGAGCTCGGTGATAACACGACGAGTCTGTGCTGAAAGGTGGACTGCATTTTAAAATCTTATTAATAAGTCTCCCAGAATGTTTGCCAGAGTTGACTGTCAATCAACTACAGCATCATTTACTGCATGTACATAAATACATATTAGCTTCGGGGTACTTTAGAATGGATGTTCTCAATGTCAAATCAAGCAAGAGTACACAAAATACACAAATTTTAAAGCTAACTTTTTGTGAGTGACCTCATATTTTACACCTCCTGCACACAACTGCTTTATTAAATTATTTTTATTTTGCCAATGGAAAAGTCCTCAGCAAAATTAATGACTATGGGTTTCCCCCAATTTCCAGATGAACTCATTCCATCGACTGAATCACATTTTCTAGAGCAGTGTTTTTCAAAGYGTGGGCCGTGGCCCCCTGGGGGACGACCAGGGGGTGCTGGTGGGACATCGGAGGAAAGATGCGTTAACAAAAACAGGAAAAATAAAAACAAGTCTAATACACGTTTTAAATAATCATAAAGTCAAATAAAACAAATCYCTTACTGCTCCCATCCTCCTCTCGCAAAAACACATTCAAACGCTATCTTTTTATGAAAACAATTAAAAAAATTAAGTTAAAAGTTACAAACTTTTATTTTGAAAAGGAATAAAAGAGAAGAACTGAGTTATACAGAGTTTTAGTTAGTCAAAAGGATTTGTTTTGTTGTTTATATACAAATCATAAATTAGTATTTTCACAACCTCTGAGCAGACAATGTTGTGGACCACCCCTACCACTTCACCCTCCTTCTGTTACCAATGGAACTGGGACACCCCTACACCCTTACAGCCGAGGGGTAAGAGGAAGGAGTGAAACAGGATTCAAACTTTTTTTWAAAAACTAAAAGCTAAATTACATTCATTTTCCACACACATAAACCATGAGTTCATTTGAACCAATTAGGAGTTTATGCTAAAGGGCAAAATTAAAGCCTTTACTTTATAATCCCTAATCCATGTACATGTCTTTATAGCAGGAGAACAGTTCACAGCATCGGTGCAGGAGGAGAAACTGTCACTGCAGGTTCTGATAGAAAAAAAAGGAACAATTTTGGAGTTCTGAGGATTTTTTTTGATATTCTTGGCACATTTATAGATGAAAACTGGTGTTGCTGATCCTTACATAGCCTCGATGTAATAAACCACACATGTCAAACTTATGGCCCGGGGGCCAAATGTGGCACAGGGGTGACTTCTGTCCGACCCCCCTTCTTAAGGTAATAGAAAAATAGATTTTAGATCAAATGTAAATTTCAAGTTTATGATTCAATGCAAATGCAACAAAATAGGCAAGTTAGTTGAATAGCCCTGTAGTGATGTCTCAAAATAAGCTGCATTAAAGCCTGTGCTGACCAAAAACTACATTTCACATAATGCATATCAGTTATTTTAGTCACAAAATGATGGCATCCAACCACCAAGTGGAGGTGATCAGGATTTAAAAGTAGCTGGCCAAATTCACAGTGTAAAATCTACATTTCGCTGCATTTTCACTGGCTCTTTCTGCTGTGGCTCAGTTGTACTGGGAAGTGGGGATTTCCCACTTACAAGTAGTAAATTTAAACTGGAATTAATTCCCTGTCAGTAAGTAGGAAAGTTAGGAGAGTTCAGAATTCAAGAYGGGCAGCTRCAACAGTGAGTAAAACTCTTTTATTTTTAATAGTATTTCTAGTATTATTTATTTCACATTTAGTCAGTCATTAACGTAGTACTTTTCAGTGTTTATTAGAGGACGTGTTTAAATGCTGTTTCTATGCAGGACATACCAGGTAGAGCTCAGTTACTGTTTGTTGGCAGTTTTTAGCCTTAGCAACGAGACAAGGAACATGTTGTTCCATGTTTAGTTGAAGTTAAAGACAAAAAGTTAGTTACGGTAATTACAACTGGCCCTTTAAGGACCACCATAGTGGCCTCCAGTGAAAATGAGTCTGACACCCCTGTAATAAACAAACACACAGATTGCTTACCCTAAGGTCAAGTTTAATGGATGGCTGCTACCCAATTAATCAGGTATTTCTATTGATCACTTGCCAAAAAAATGTAAAATAATGAAAAAAAGAATGAAAAAAAAAAACAGTTCTATAATCAGATGTAAACATAGCAGTCAGTAGTTTGATATTAATAATCCTAAATATAAAATCTAAAGGCTAACCAGATAATACTTTAATGAAATGAATTTTTTGTCCAAAGCACCTTCAGCCTTTTTTTCTTCGGTCTTTGTTTCTTGAGCTCGGTGTGTGTCAAGGTCAAAGCATGCCCTTGGGAATCTATTAGCGATATGGGGAAGGAATGCAGAAAAGGGCTGGCATTCCCTTGCTGCTGCTCGAGTCACGTCATGTAATGAGCTTCCTACCCCCCCACTGCTCCCCATGGACTCGATGTCATTATGGAAATGCAATTCCTGAATCCTTGCGCATCATTGTAAGAGCTATTAGAAATGGATTGTAGGACATTTTCTTAAGAGAATGCACCTCCCGATGACCTCTTGCCATTTCTTTTAGTACCAGACTAATAGATTTATACATTAAAGGCACCATCATGATTTATTCCGATGATTTGTAGGCACTGGGGGAATGTGAGTAATACCTTGGTGGAAGGGAGAAGCACAAACATTGGTTCTGCAATATAAAAATAGAATCCACATCTAGTAAACAGTCAGTATCTCACAGCCGGTCATCGAGAGAAGAATAAGAGTGCTCATTAAACACTAAAGTCCTAAATTTAGTTTTTTTAAAAAAGAGACTTGCTTGAAAGATTTAGAACTGCGACAAAGGTTAATAAGACTGTGTAATTTACATGGTGAGAATGCGAAGGACAGGGGAATGAGTTTTTGTCATCAGCGGAGTAATTACCTGCCACATGGCTTCCTCAGGCTGGGGTGGTAATATGTTAGCAGTCCTGGTGCCATGACATTGACAGGGCAGCCACCACTATAGTCCTCCTTAGCCCAGTCCTTGAAAGCAAAAACAAAATCAAAAAGTAAAAAAATAAACCACCAATTACTCATGGAGAAATAAATGACAGATATTACTGTAAATTCGGAAGTGATGGGCCCACCCTCTGCCAAAATGGAGACAGCTGCCCCTCTGCCACTGCTACATCCCATCCATTCAACCGAAACATCCCGTTAAGCAGGCTTACTAGTTCCAATACATTTTTCATTCTGACCCCGGAGAGACTTCTGACATAAAATTGGCAGCTCTCCTCTAACAGACAAAATGAATAAAAATACCAAAAGTAGAGTCAAAGATAAAAAGGACACACTGGTATAACTAATCCAACAATAGAATTTGTACCGAATGTGTCAAACTGGCTAAATTATAATATAAGTAAGTAAGTAAAGTTTTATTTATATAGCGCCTTTCACAGAAAATAAATTCACAAGGTGCTGCACATTCAGGGAAGGGGGGAGGGGACGGTTAAGACCGGTCATGCAGCAAACACAGTTGTGCTACCGCTACCAACAGAAAAACTAAAAACCACACAAGGGAAGATGAGGATAAAAGCAAAAACATCAYATTATATCAACACTGTGACACATTATGGTGTTTATGAAAAAAACCTCTGCATAGGGCAGATTTATTAGCCAGAGGAGTGAGTTTAGTGGGGCCCGAAGAATYCATTCCCCTAAACCAGTGCAGCCATAGTTCAGAATATTGATGGTAAACTGTTCATTCTGTGTGGCCCTCAGCCTGCTCAGGAACCASATCAGACGAGTGTGAGAGGAGGTGGGGAGGTGTGGGGCAGAGCCTTGTTGACGTAATCCAGCCAGGAAGAATTTAGTCAACAGCTCAAGGCCGTTGTCGGRGAGAGACAGATTCTGTAAATATAACCATTTCTCTGTTTTTAATGTCAGCTATCTGTGGCTACCATTTTGATTTGATTTAAAGTGAACATATCCTACCTTTAAATCCTTCTTTTTCACATTTAAACCATTCACTTGGGGGTCTATATAAAGTGGAACTGCAATGCTTTAGTCTGAATTCCTCTTTATTGTAACTCCACAAGCCCCGCCCCTTTTCTGAGGTGTGTTTCAAATCAAAATGTCACTTCACACCCCGCCCACCTCCAGCTTCCGGTCCACTCTTGTTTGATAGGGGAGTTTATGATTAYACAGCAGCTCAAACAATTTTTTTACTAATGAATTAAAAGATGTCAATGAGGGAGGACTTGCTCATCCAGCCTTACATGTTGGAGTCAAAGTCTGACCCAGAACCAGAGAAGAATGAAGACCACAAAATTGTAGTTGGTCCAGAACTTACTTAGAAGTTCCATTGCAAATAATTTGATGTAATATGTCAGAAAATGTCATAGCGCTGGGAGACACTAAATTAAACTTTTCAATTAACAAATTTAATGTATTTAATGGCTAAAAAAGTGGATTTTGATGATAYTTCTCAAAATTTCAAAGGTTAATTGGTTGTTTATTTTCTGGAAATTTAAAAAAATTGTCTAATGAATCATGAAATACTTTGCTAACAGACAGATATCGCTGACTCCAATAGTTTAAAATTTTATAATAAACAGATCTTAAACTCTTACAGGCCTGAATACATGTTGCGCTACTGCCACACTACCAAATTCTAACTTAACTGCTTAAAAAATAAGTTCTATTGAGTGTAACAACAGAAAGTAACATTACAAATATACTGAAGTTGGCAGAAGTATACACTTACATTAGACCGCTCTTCCTCCTGTGACCTTACTCCCATCACTTCTTATTGATCAGTATATTTTGTCGAAATTTCTTACAAAATGATTCCAACAACTATTAAAGATGCATTCATWTGTTTGGACATTGCTTCAGCTCCACGTACAACTTGTTCCAAAGCATCATTCCCCTCACACAGAAATATTTGCTACAGAAACATTTTCTTGTTCTAACCTCCTTTGTTTGATATTGACAGAACAACAACAAAAAAAAGGGACTGAATTGCAGCCATTTTTGTGTTGATCAATTAGCTGTAGCAGTCATTTTGAACTGGGTTTACTCCAAAAGCTAAATCAGTCGTAGATGTTTGTTCAGTGGTTCATGAGATGTTTTCTAACAGAACACACAAACACAAGCAAAAGCAACGAAATGACCACTGTCATAAAAAAAGGCCTGCAGCATCCTCAGGTGTCAGCACCACCCAGGTCTTAATAACACTTTCACATCCAGGTCAAAAGAGTTAAACTGACCTGACAAGTGGACAGCTTTAAGCTGTGTTGTTTCCACTTTTAGGACAGAATAAGAGGAAAGTGTGAAATGAAAATAGCAAAGGAAGCGAGCGTTTGCATGAGAGGCAAATAAATTAGAGGGTTCGAGCTGAGGAATGAGAAATCTAAGACAGAAGAAATGAGTGAGGGGGAAGACGGGTCTAAATCAGGCTGTGATAAAGAGACAGCTGAAGACAGGGAAACAGATGGCCCCACTGMAGGATTTTATGCCATATCTTTATTTGACGGCTTTATTAACTCCAGTGCATCAGTGAACCAAGGTAAAATGCTCAGTTTGAACATATTCCTAACGTTTCTGTGATTAAAGGCAGAGTTAGAAATGTGCATTTGTTCGGTTCACGGGATCAAACAACATTTTTAACCAAGCTGTTTGCTCATTTCTTTTCTTTTTTTTTTCTTTTTGTATTAACGGTGTACTGAAAATTCAGAGGTGATGCAACAGCGCAGCTGTCTTTACAGACATCCCCTGCAGCATAACAAGCAGCAGCAAAAAGAACCTTTCAACCAATCCCTCCAATTGTTGACTACAGCTTGATCTATAAAGAATAAAGCTGTAAGTGGAGGGAGCAGTGAATTAGACACATTTGAAGCACTCTGCTGCACAGCCTAAACACACTGTGCTGTCTTGTCTGCTCATATAGGACTGTATAGGTCACGTATAGAAGTGGYATATCTATTCCTTACCTTTAGCAAAAGCTATACTGTACCTTCTCACYCCCCAATGCATCTTCCTACCTTAAACAAAGGTGTGGAAATGTGCATTAATATAACAAAAAAAGTTGTAAAACTGTATTTTAGTTGCTGAATCCTTTAAGCAGTAAAGAATATTGGTTAATAAAGACTTTAACAAAGATCGTCTCATGTTAAAAAAAAGGATGGTGTAAAAAAAAGCTRTTTTGATCAAATCTTGAAAATGAAGTCATGAACTCTCAAGTGATATTGTGAGATCTCCAGCTGTTTCTGCTTGGACTGTGTGTTGAGAATAACTCAGCTACTACCTGCTTGATCTTAGCTAAATATCTGTAAATTTAACAGAGTTATGGCTGTTTTTGCGTTTGCTGCGGTTGATTAACTGCGACGGCCATCTTGAATTGAGCTGACTTCAAAAGTCAATCAGTTATAAACACACATTGAGTTTTTATTAAAATATATTTACTAGTTTGAGAGATATTTATTTTACAAAAAAAAAACATTTAAAAAGCACCATCGTTTTCAAAAATCGTTCTCATGTAAACAGATCCAGAGGCAAAATCATTATCGCCTGCCATTTTCAACTCTATGTTCAAAAAAATGTATTTTCTTAAATTAGCATTAGCCTAACTAGCTCAATTTGGGATTAGCATCGATCACACAAAATTTCAGTTATTTAGATGAATTAGATGTGATAGCCATCTTGAATTTTCACATCCAGAGTGTTTTTCTTTTTCTGTGTCCCCTTAAAGTGAATCTTACCCCCCTGTGAAAAGATAACTCCGCCCCCAAGGCGAAATTTGAAAAATGCATCAAAGTGGGTAGGGGAGGGGGTGTGGGTAGAGGAGGGGGGGTAGAGAGCGGAGGTGTGGCCAGGACGAGAGAACGTGACAGCTAGCATTAGCATAATTGATGCTAAATGGAGAGTGACCACAGCGACGCAGATAGTTACATCTCTGAACGGTCTGAGGTGGAGGATTTTTCACCCCCCTCCTCACCAGAGGCAGAGAGAGACTTGATCAAGTCAGCTCAGTCAGGGACTGACTCGTGTTGGCTCCCTGGGTCAGGACATGAAGCTCCAGCAGCCTCGGCTGAGCTGTCCGCCTCACACCACACCAGCCTCGGGCAGAGGAGGAGGAGCGCTCCGCGACAGCCTGACTAGCTGCTCACAAGATCGCTAGTTTAAATCAGGAATAAAAGTGTTGGGTCTTGTTTGACTGAAGTTCGGTCCATTAGGGCTGCAGCTGCCCCCCTGTGTTTCTGCCTTTTTTCCCTCCTCCCCTCCCGCTGTGCAGGACGTACTGCTGGTGTGTGTGTGTGTGTGAACACAGCCGCTGTGACGAAACCGTGGAGAAGACACGTCACCGTGGAGAGCCGTTAACCAATATGCAAATTAGCCTTCAGTACCACTGCTCTACCCATATGAGCAGCAAAAACACGTTTTTAGACCAAATATTACAGATTTGAACAAATACGCACAAAAACATCAAAATTAGCACAGAAACAGTACTATATAACATTTTAGACACATTCTAGACAGTTTATCAGCTAAAAAAAGTTAATTTTGGGGTAAGTTACTCTTTAAAAAGCACTTTGGTCGCTGGTTAGATCCCCGTCCAGCTGTCTCAGTTGTTGTGTCCTTGGGCAAGACACTTCACCCCTAATGCCTCTGATGTGTGTCCCATCAGTGTATGAATGTGATTGGCACTGATTAGTCTCCATAGATTATTGTATATGTTAGCTTTGTAAAGACCTAATAAGAGTAGAGTGCTGTGTGAATGGCTGTGATGGACTTGCGACCTGTCCAGGGTGTACCCCGCCCCTCGCACTGTGACTGCTGGATATGGGCACCAGTGACCCACGCGACCCTGAAAAGGAAGAAGCGTGTACAGAAAATGGATGGATGGATGGATGGATGCTGTGTGAATGGATAAATGAGGGCACAAATTGTAGTGTAAAGCGCTTTGAGTGTCCTGGATGGATAGAAAAGCGCTATATAAGTACAATCCATTTACCATTTACCTTGGCCACCCCTTGCAAAAAAAAGTCTAGCATGGTGGGTGATAAGTATCCCCACATAGAGCTGTACCATGTTGCCACAAACTGTTCCCACCATCATAAATACAGGTTAACCTTGAAGAAACGCTGCACTTGTTAAATATTTTATAGCTCGTTGTAAGCTCACTGACATGAACCTGTAATTTTCTTCTCTAATTGAAAAACAGAGGAATGAACATTCTTCTGTCATATACAGACTACAGTAACACACAGACGGGAAATTAAAATGATCTCCTGAACTTGGAGGTTCTCTCATSTGTACGTTTTATTGCCAACGACATTTAAATAACAGTGATTAAAAAAAGATGCCAAAGAAATCTGATAACAATTTGGCTCCAATAAAATCCAGGCGAGTGTTTCTGTCAGCGACGCAGATTGAATTTATCATTCTTTCTTCACTCAAAGTAATTGTTCTTTAAAGTGATGTTCCCCTTGAGTCTCTTTGTCAGCAAAGTGAAACCATAATATCTCCCTAAATGGTACTGCCTCTGGTTTCCTCCAGGCAGTTTTCCATTGGATCTTCCCCCTCAGCAGCACGCTGCATGAAAAGCAGTGGAGAACCAAAATCGTGCATCTGCATGATTAATGTTCTGTTTCACATTCTACTGATGTTCGCCATACATCATGTAATGAAGCTAAATGGGTATTTTGTTTGTGTGTGACAACATGATTACAGTAAGTATAGTATTCCCGGAATGTATTCTTTGCACCCAGTGTTACGGGTTGGTTTGTGGTGCAGAGCGCTGCACGCACCTATTCCCCTTCCCCTGCATACCTTCCATTTATTCATTATAAAGCATTTTAAATCTGACCAGTGCACATCCTGATCCTCTCACTTTTATTCTGTCACTTAGAAACTATTAAATATATGAAACAAAAATCAGGGAAAAATAAAAACAAAATATAATATAAAAGCAGAACACTGGCTAAACACTAAAGGAGGAAAATAATTAGCTAAAAGAAGCTAAAAGAAAAGCAAAAAATGCTTGCAAAAAGTAGCAAGAATCTTCATAAAAAGTTAAAAACACCAAAACTGTAGCTAAGAGCTAAAAGCAACACCTTGGTTAACATCAAATTCAATGAACTTTAAAGAATTTTTCGGGACCATTTTCTTTTAAGGACAAGTGGTTTTCAAAACCTTTCCTGGGCCCTGAACTTATTTTTTCAAATTCACAAATTTTCAAGGATTTCAAGGACCTGTGGGAACCCTGTTACTCTATAAGCATCTAGTTGTTCATAAATCACCAACCAAACCATCCTTCAAACCAGTCTTGAGTTTTGTTTAATTAAAATCAGTGTCTCTGAACAAAAGGGATCTACAGTTCAACTTGGTGGAGTTAGCATGGTGTGCTTTGAGCGATTGTATAAAAAGTATGTTGGACCTATTGAGTGATCATATAAATTTAAATTTGACCCATCGAGTGGTCGTGTTAATGTATGTTGGACCAGTTGAGAGATTGTAATAATGTATGTTGCACCAACTGAACAATCATATAAACGTATGCTGAACTCATTGAGTGATTGTATTAATGTATGTTGGACCCACTGAACAATCATATAAACATATGTTGGACGCATTGAGTGATCTTATTAATGTATGTTGGACCCATTGAGCAATTGCATAAATGTTTGTTGGACCCATTGAGCAATTGCATAAATGTATGTTGGACCCATTGAGCGATCGTATTAATGCATGTTCGACACAATGAACAATCATATAAACCTATGCTGGACCCATTGAGTGATCTTATTAATGTATGTTGTATACATTGAACAATCATATAAATGTGCGTTGGACCCATTGAGCAATCATATTATTGTATGTTGGACCCATTAAGCGATCGTATAAATGTGTGTTGGACACCTCCCATTCTAAATCCTCTGACCAGCTGGTCGAACAGACTGCCTGTCAGCACACTGTCAAGCCATCTGACCCTTTCATTTGTTGAACCTTCACAAAGCTAACCCGTCGCATGACAGCTTAGAGATRTGACAGCGGTAAACTGACCCCTCACTTCACCTCGGTCCTCTCAGAAATTACAACGAGATGGAGAGAATGCGTCTCAGTTAATGTGTTGAATCACTGATGGTGTTTCGAGATAGGGATCTTATCTACAGACATGAGATGAACACCGCAAATGCTGAGGTTTTAAATAGATTCTCTCTTTTATCTTTGCGAAGAAAGATACAGATGTATATAAACTACCAACTAGAGTCTTTTAGCAAAATAAAGTTTGACTCTAGAACAAAACAAGTGGATTTATGTTGACAGAGTTTGGTCACTGAAGTACTTACTTTCTCTTCATAGTGAATGAATGATGCAGCCTCAGGACCAAGATATTTAACCAGACTGGAAACTACAGCTCCTCTTCTTTCTCCAGGCTGCAAACAGAAAAGAAAACTGGTCACATGTGGATACTGTCAGTTTGCCTTCTTATCATTTTAAACTGAAATAACAAACTGATAAAATAGTAATACATACCAGTGTTTTTTCCTGGACTCAGAAAGACACTTTGTTCAGTAAACACAAGAGTAAACACCAAGAACTATTTTCTCTATTTTTTCTCTTACTTTGCTGTTATGTAGCTACTCAGTTTGTTTCCCTAAAACAAGATTTGTCCCAAGCTTTTATACACATAGAAAAACAGAGACAAAAGCATTGGGCTAAAATCTACAGTGCTTAATGGGGGATAAAACAGTATGCAGTCATAGTATTGTAACACATTGAGTCCTTGAGTCCAAGTCTCAATTCCAAAGTAATTATGTCAAGTAAACTGACAGATACTTCACTGAAAACAGTGTGCACTTCATTTTGGACATGCAATATGGCTTTTAAAGTGCTATATTTATTTATCACACTATTCGCACATCTCCAAACACGACGTTTATGAAGCTAACATTAATTTAAGCATTGTTGGTGTAAATTTCCTCACACAAACACTTTAAATTAAATCTTTAACTGAACTGAAGGGATAAATTGTTGCTGACTTTGTGTGGACATGGTTCTTTGAGCAGGAGAGGAAGGTGTATTTTTAAGAATATTTTTAACCCTGAGGTCAAAGTGACACATAGTACCAGTCCAGTACCGGTTCTGTTCCATAGACCAAGATGTTGTGGGTGTTCCTTTTTTTTAAGGGATACATATTAAATGCATCCTCAGTTTCCCATTTTTATCTCAGTATAAAAACAAAACCTGGCTAGAGAAGAAGAGGCAGTCAGTAGCAAAGGCCACATCCTGTTTGAGATCATTTCATCTGTTTGTTTACTTATAAACATTATATAATAAGACAGTGGTCATCAGTGCCATCAGCTTGCAACGCATATAAAGAATACCAATATCCCTTTCCTTTAGTTTGTATTTGGTGGCGTTATCAGATCTGTGGAAAAAAAACCAACACTGACYGCCCTCCTTTCAAAGAGCTGGTCAGTCTAGATGAATATTACATGATGACTGTCATCAGAATGAGAAGCACACCCTCACTTTAGTTTGTAAAACTCAGATCCCATTAGGGCTGATTCAACAGCGAAGCCTCGATCCGTCAGAATAATGCTGCTTCGCTGTCACATTCAACTGTTTGTAGCCATAATTCATGCTCTGTTTAACATACAGTACATCTTATTTTTATTAGGTCCATTTAAACTCTGTTACCATTATACCAGCTATACTTAGAGRTGAAACCCAATTTAAAAAGCTGATGTTTTGATTATTTTCTCAGTCATAACTATAACTGGGGTTTTTTTGTGAATGATGTATTCACTTCAAAGAAGTCCCACCTACTCCCCCACACACACAGTCATGGTGTTTTATGCTATTTTCCCATAAGCATGAAACAAATCGAAAAAATCAAAACAAATGTGCAGCCCACGAAAAGCATAGGCTGCATCTGAGCCATCAGTGATTTCCCAGGATTCATTGTGCCAATAAAGTTACTGTCACAAATTTGACAGTTTTTTTTAAGTTGAGTTTGGAAATTTATCACTGACCGATAGGGCTGCCACGATTAGTCGATGACTAATCGGTTTTTAAAATAATCTATGACTAATTTAATAATCGATTAATCG